CAGCTCTTCTGGGGGGATACCGAGGCGTTCCCAGGCCAGCCGGGAGACATAGTCTCTCCAGCGTGTCCTAGGTCTTCCCCGGGGCCTCCGCCCAGTGGGACGTGCCCGGAACACCTCCCCAGGAAGGCGTCCAGGAGGCATCCGGAACAGATGCCCGAGCCACCTCAGCTGACCCCTCTCGATGTGGAGGAGCAGCGGCTCTACTCTGAGCTCCTCCCGAGTGACCGAGCTTCTCACCCTATCTCTAAGGGATCGCCCAGCCACCCTGCGGAGAAAGCTCATTTCAGCCGCCTGTATCCGGGATCTTGTCCTTTCGGTCATGACCCAAAGCTCATGACCATAGGTGAGAGTAGGAACGTAGATTGACCGGTAAATCGAGAGCTTTGCCTTACAGCTCAGCTCCTTCTTCACCACAACAGACAGGTACATCGACCGCATTACTGCTGAAGCTGCACCGATCCGTCTGTCAATCTCCCGTTCCATCCTTCCCTCACTCGCGAACAAAACCCCAAGATACTTAAACTCCTCCACTTGAGGAAGGATCTCTCCACCAACCTGAAGTGGGCAAGCCACCCTTTTCCGGCTGAGGACCATGGCCTCAGATTTGGAGGCAAAATATATTTTTTGTAATTCTGTGAATTACACTGCTCAAATCAGATGAGGTAGGATTGGCTCTCCACAAAACATAAAATGTTTTTTTTCGTGTTCACAGAGGAAAAAACAATGTTACAGACATGACAGTTCTCCGACAGACACGAGCGCTCTGAAGCAGCACTTAAAGACAGCTTTAAAACTTGCACAGACCTCAAACAGAAAAGCACAAAGCCTTTCTTTAAAGTGAATTTCGTTTTTTTTTTATCATTTTTTTTCTTCATTTTAATTAATGTTTTATCAACCAATTGTCTGGATTTAATAAATAAGAAGGAAAAGCAGACAATTACTGATAATCAAGGCGAGGCACCGATGTGTGAACTGGAGCTCGTCTCATAAATATAGCTACCGCAACTCAGCGTATAAGTATAGTCTACTCTACAGATCTGAAACATAGCCTATATCTATATTGAAATGTCTACTTGTAAATAGAACGATTCAAAATGAAAGAAAACGTAATGCTCTCTGCTTATGAAATGAACTGTGCATTTCTCTCTGGCGCATGCACTATGCGAAGATCACGCAGCATCGTCAACTTCAGCTTTATTAATAAACAATTAAAATGTCTCCTTGCTATATTTGTTCTTTGTGACAGCTTTTGATTTTCGGCATCGTCGCTGCTAACCTTAGGCTAAAGCGTTAGGTTAGCCTACAAGTTACAAGCTCACCACTGCATCAAAAACATGATTGTGTGATAAAAACATGAAAAATACTACCTAAACATAGCCTGTTTAGAAAAAAAACACAGAACGAATAGCCTAATGCACATACGTCCATCTCTTTTGTTTGAAATGGAAAAAAAAAACATAGCTGCTAGACCTATCTAAAAAAAAAAGGTTCGACTATCAGTCGACTATGGCAAAATCTAACGAATCAGATTCGACTATGAAAATCCTTAGTATTAGACATGTGCCGGTATTCGGTAATGCGATAAATCGCGGTAATGAATATGCACGATATTGTTATCGCGGGCTCTTCAAAATACCGTGAAAAATAATAGATTCGAATTTAGACTTTTAAAGCGCGCATTAGCTGCTTATTTTCCTTCAACCGCTCAAACACTGCGTGCTGCGCAGAACACGCGCGCACTCTGATGTAAACAATCCCCATTATGTATAAGCACTGTGTGCATGCAGCAGTGCGCACTAGTCTAATGTAAACAGTCCTCACATGGATCAAGCATGGCGGAATACTCCCGACGATTTATCCCCGCAGGGCTGCCAAACTCTCGGACATTCCGCTTTAGACTCAAGCTTGAGACTTTCAGACAGGACGCGGAATACGCGCGCGACGCGCAGGGTTGTTTTGTTGCTGCGTTGACCTGCATCGACCACGCCGGTGTTAAAGTTCAAAATAGTTCAACTTTTTATTTGTAAAATGGCAAATCGCGTTGTATCTGAAGGGCACCGTTGAACCAAGCAGCCGCAGCGTCGCGCATTCCGCGTCCTGTCTGAAAGGTGCTTAACGCATTTGACACTGCACGCTCTCCCACAGAGAAAAATCACAGGGCAAAGAGGACACTGACACCGACAGACTAGACAGAGCAGGTTACTTTTGAAATGAAAGTTGTTATTGATAAATTGAAGTTGATAAATCAGCTCTTCTGATCACAGATCGTTGCTCCTCAGTTCAAGTAAACCGATCATCATGTTACTTTCGTTTTTATTTAAAGATACAGTATAACTTACCGAAAGGTATATTTACTTGTACATAATAACGATCAATCAGTGTTTTCAAACATGGAAAGAGGTCAGTAACACTGCAGGAGAACAGTTGTGTCACAAAACGTTACATTTACCTCAGGAAAGCCATTTAATGACCAGAAAATTAGTTGACTAGAAAAAAATATCAAGGATTATTTTGCTAAATATTATATTTAATTTCTCTCTGTATGTTTACAGCATTATGTGAGGTTTTTTTTTTCTTGAGAAACATTAACAGACTGGGGCCTACCTAATATTTATCCAAATGAGTCAATATTGAATTAAGACTGAAATCAAATCCAAGAATTTAATTGAATAATACAAACAGTAACCTACCAGTCATTGTCCCATGTAAACATTGTAACATGTTGTCACTAAACTTTAAACAATTTGGTTTAGTTACCATATGTTTCGAAAATCACAATTACACATTGTGATACAAGTTGAGGTTTTTTTAGAGACCCACAATGCATCTGTTTTTCTTGAGCATTAAAATATAATTTCATTAAAATATCGTGATAATACCGTATACCGAGATAAAAGCTCATCAATTAACCGCAGCATGAAAATTTGATACCGGCACATGCCTACTTAGTATTGACAAAAATGTGATATTGCGATATCGATAATGAATATTGCGATATCGATATTAATTTCGATATTTTTAAATGGATGTAAAACTACAAAAGTTATAGGAAAACATCAAAAAAAGATTAATAAATAAAACAAGTTTTCTTACAACATAAGGTTTATTTCAACTGACAGTCATATTGGACTGGTACAGCATGAATAAATAAATAATAACCATGTCTACAGAACAGGACATGTTTTACTAGTTGTGTAGGCCTACACTACAGTGTAAAAGACAATAAATAAGCAAGTCCACAGAACATACTATATGCAACATAAACGCCACTATATGCGTTTTCTTTGACCAGATAGCTATCTGATCGTGAAAAGACCAGGTGTAAAGGCCCTGTGAAACGCATTTGTGACGTATTTGAATCTAATCGCTCAAACCACTTCAGGAGGTGGTCTGGGCCGCATTCCAGACGAAACTGGACAAATGTAAATGCATCTCGTTATTGAATAAACCAAATGTACTCCTTCCAAAAACGGTAAAAATGAGAACGTTACAGGCTTGTCATGTTATGGCCAGATATGACGACGCGCGCGACTGCAACACGCATCACCGCAGATCAGCTGAGCATCTCTTCATCAAGCCAAATCAAAGTGAAAGTAAGTCGCAGAGGCTTTTCCCACAGTTATCTTCATTAAAAGTAAATAAACTAACTGATCTTATTTTACCTGATGATCGTATGCAGCTCATAACTGTTGCTTTCGGTGACATACGTGCACTCCATTAAATCTGCATATAGCGCGGGAATTGAAAAATCATATTTTGATAAATCAGATATCCGATCAGTGAAAAAGCATGAAGTTGCCAGGGTGGCCTGACGTTTATGCTTGTGTGCGTCGAGCCGGCCAGCAAGTGTGTATGTGGGGGGACTATGTGGTAGTAGAGCAAGTGAGAAGTGAGAGAGTGACGGCGATTAGCTTTGAAGCGAATCGCGACTCTTGAGAAAAACAAAGTGTCTCCCCTGTTCTTTCTGACCACTGTGGGAAATCTGTAGCATGAAAAGTTAAACCTCACCTTGATTTCATGTTGTTTATGGAGAAGGAGAATCAGGAAATGATTGACGCATCATAAACAAAATATTGCATAAATATCGCAAAACTTTCGATATGTATATCGAGCAACGTGATATCGCGATAACGATACTGATTCGATATATCGTGCATCCCTAGTAAGTAGGCTAAGACTTAATGATTTTAAATGTATTTGCATGTATAATTTCAGACGCAACCTTGTGTTTTAGTTTTATCAAATGCCAGCACTGGCGTGCTCTCTGCTCGGCGCCGCTGCGGATCGAAGATGAAGAACGCACTGAATCTGATTAAAACAAGAAGTTTGGTGATTGATTTTTCATTAGGCTATTTTAGTGCCCCCTCAGCACTTCGTTCCCTACGCACAGCGCGTGATGCGCGTGGTGGGAGCGGCGGCGCTGCTTGTAACATGAAATCCGGTGCGCTTGCAGCATTCTGAAAAGTTTTCATCTCACTGCGCCTGGAAACAATCACGTCAATTGGGAAATAGTGAACTTGAGAACGCAAAATAAACAATATGTGAACGGCCCTACGGCGTTTATTTAGTCTAAAACTCGCGTACAGGATACGAGAGCAAAAAACTGTAGCTATACACGGACAGAATGCCATCCACGCGTGGGCGCGTTGCTGCACAGTGAGCGCGCTCGATGCCGGCCACGAGCTAGTGGAAGAAACACTACTGGTTCACGCTTGCGCGCATACTGCTGTTTGGCGCGCAGTGTTCTGATTTGCTTATTTCCTATTTACTTGTTTGGTGGAGGCAATCCAGAATAACTGTTGGTGAAATTATAATCAGACCCACCCACCCACCCCCAAACTATCAAACAGCCAATGTCTGACAGCCCCGACAAGGTTGTACTGTAGTATATGAACTTTGGGTGTACAGTAGTATATAAAAGCGCTACATAAATTGCCCCATTCATTCAATGTCTGTTTAATCCATTCAAATTCTAACAATTTCCAGACGTAAGCACCCACCTCGCCCCAGATGCCGGCCGTGTCGTCGAGATTGTGTTTCTGATAGGACAGCTGTCGGATGCAGTTATTAACGGCAACACTACTCCTGCCAGGAGCCATTTCCTCCTCTGATATTTCCACCCAGCCCAGAGATCGCACAGCAAAACACTGCAAACACACACACACACAAGCATGAAGAACCCCAACAGCTAGATGATGTGTATGTGGTCAGTCATCAGTGTGCTTACCTTCGCCCCCTCGGCACTGCTGACATAAGACAGTTCCTCTTCCTCCTCAGACTGAGAAAAACTGCACACAACAAGATGATGACACACAGAGACAGGTCAATGCTCCAGTAGCTCAAACACTAGAGCCCGATCCCGCTGAGTCCAGGACCAGCCCTGCTCCTCCAAACGTCTCTGTGTTATCAAGTGTTCCTGAAGATATTAATCTGCTGGTTCAGCTGCGTTTGATCAGGGCTGAAGATGGACTTCCTGCAGGAACAGGACTGGGCAGCCCTTCGGTAGTCTTAACGTGAGTGGCTTTAGATAAGCTAAGAAATGCATAAAAGCACTGCCATGTAGATGTTATTGTGGCGTGATACTATGTGATGCTCAGCTTGATGTTTGATGGATCTGACCTGAGATTGATGGAGGCGTAGCGTAGAGTCGCTCCCTCAAATTCCTTCAGACTTTCATCAGAAGCTGTATCCTCCTTCTAAGCGATTAAAAACAGCATTACATGGACTTATATAAAAACAGAATAAGGTGTTTGTACGTCTGTGACACCATCATGACACCTACCTGCCAGAGTTCTTCAACACTAAACGTGTTTGATTGTGAAACAGCGCTCCATGTAATCTAATTACAAATGTGTTCATGTTAAAAGACATAAGCATTCACATGGGCTACAACAGTGCTTATATACTGATGTGATGGTAGTAAGCGTGTGCACCTGTGGCTGGTCAGCGGGCGAGAGCGCGGGCGAGGCGCTGGAGGGCCGCTCCTCCAGGGGCCCGGGCGGCTCCCACTGTGTGGTGCCTGTGGGAATGTGCCAGTAGTAGGTGCCCGAGGTGTCCTGCACTCGCATCCAGCCAGCAGGCAGGTCCGTGTCCGTCTCAAATGCACTGCCGTCCCAATAGGACTCTAGAACAACAACGAAACGTTTCTTTGAGTGTGTTTACACCTGGTTTTAACATTTCGAGTGATCTGATCAAAGGTTGTCAGGTGAGGCTGTTTACACCTGGCAGTAAAATGCCTTGCAAATATGGATTTCAATAGTTCTCAATAGCTTACTCGCCAAAAACAGTATGGCCCTTATGGACTAAACAGCTAATTATTAAAAATATACTGTAAGTATTTTTCCCTATAGAGGCACAGCTCTGTCACACAACATGAGCCTGCTTTAGGAGATATGATGTTTTGAGCAGAATGTTATTTTAGGCCATTGTTAACCTGTAATCTGTCTCACTGACATCAGACATACAGAAGATGCTCTGTGAAATCTTGAGGATTTATATGTTCGCCATGATAATATTGGTTACTCTTAACTCCGGTAAAAGGGGAAAACACTGAATGAATCCTAATTGATAACAAGAGTTTGTATACCAAACAGTTGAGATCTAGATATTCTTTATCGCCATCATTAAAATCATGGTAAGTCACGGGCAGCATAGCATAGCAACAAAAGTGCAAAACTCAGCAGCATATGAGTGATCTGGATCAAGGTATCGATCTAATCCAAGAACGTTATCTGGCCGACCAAACGCTTGATTCCAAAAAATCTGTTTGGTGTGTTGTTGAGGTTTAGTGAACAACACAGTTTAATCTGACTACACTTTATTTTTTTGTAAAGATTTGCAAGATTTTTGTGATCATATTCACTAAAACCGACACTACGGTCCAACAGAAAAACATAAATCAGCCGGTTTTAGAAAAACCATGCGCTTCTACCTCCACCTGGAGTTGGTCATTTGTTTTGCAAAAATCCACCGCTCCCGGTTTTTCTGATCTAGTCAGCGCAGGGCTGTGTTAGATCTCAGTTAATCAAAGTTCGTGCACGCCACAGATCACCCTTGCACACGTTACACATCACATGCACAGGCCTGAAATCCGCAGGTGTATTGGATTGTACGAAGCAGGATGGCGGAGAGAAAATCTACTAACAAGCTTCCAATTCCTCAGTTAACAACCAGAGCTAGGAGGTCCAAAACAACCAAGGAAAAGAAACACCTTTTGCGTGATTCAAAAATGTAAAAACACATGCAAAAATATATATTGCACAAACTGAAATAAATAATGCAAAATTATCAGAAAAGCAAAGAACGTGGTCACGGATTAAAATATAATAAGTGTGAATCAAAAAATAACAAGCATGAATAAAAACTTTAAACACATTAAAAATATTTTGCACAAAACTTAAATTTATGTTCATGTTTTTTGCTCTTCTTTTCGTGTTCTGTGCTTGCTCTTCCAAATGTTGCAGTTAAATTAGGGCGGGCTAAATAGTCACCATTGGTCCACTAGTTCTAGATTGACAGCTCCTCCTCTAGCCAATCAATCAAAGAGGGGAGTTGACGTCACTCTAATGCGACTCATCACGCTACTGATGTTCACTCGTAGGGGTGTCACGATTCTCCAAATCCTCGATTCGATTAAGTTATCGATTCTAAGGTCACGATTCGATTCGATTCTCGATTTTAAAAAAAAATGTAAAGCGCAGATTGCTATGCAATTTTTAGACTACACATTTATGCATTATGCAATATAAATTTGTTCACAATGTACACTACACCATTGACAAATTTAAAATATAACAAAAACAAGTAACATCATAAATGTAACAATAACTTTATTAAGTCAATTGGAAACTTAAGAGAAACTAAATGGCAGGTTACTTTGCTTTTGTAACTGCAGTCTTCTCAGAAGATGACCTTTATGTTCACAATCACAACAAAACAAACAAAAGCAATAAAACAGCAATGTCCATAGACTCCACACTAGTCTTCTCTGAATAATTAAGCATCTTAAACTATTTCCGAACAGTTATATTCTGTTATAAAAAAAACATATACTACACAAATAACTACTTTTTATCCCCTGAGAATGATGACTGTATTTTTCATTATTTTATGTTCTTCCTAAAGAGGGATATGTTGTTTTGTTTAGAGCTGCTATTATCAGTTGTCACAGGGATGGTTACATTTTGTCTGTCCAACTTCCATTCCACTACCATTTCCCAGTATAATGTGCTGTGACAGTCATGAAGCTCTGTGTTGCTCTGGAGGTCCAGCAATCTGTAGTCAAGGCCACTAAATGTGCACTTCTCAGACCTTCAATAACTTTCTCCTTTACATTGTTGTACAATCAGGGTATCACCATAGTTGTGCCGGATTCACATATAGCGCCTAAAAACGCGTAGAAAACGCTGGGCGCGCCGCATTCTTCATTTTGCATAGCGCCAGGGCGGTTGCGCTTCAGTTGGTTCTTGTCACATGACCTATTGTGTGCGTATGGTGCGCTTGCGGTATTCTGAAAAGTTGAGATGTTTTTATCTCGACGCGGCGCGGACGCGCAAGTTCCGTTGATGGGTCTTCTATATCTGCAGTTGCCATATGTGTCAGTTAGAGAACTCGCAGCCTTTCAACAGGTGTTTTTGTTTTCCGCACTGTGATGAGTCGTTCATCATGAATGAGTCATTCATCATAAACGATCTGTTCATTGCCTCTGTCACGCGACAAATGAACAAAAGACTCGGAAGGTAAATGTTCTCTGTAAATTATTTTTCACTGCATTCAATATGTACATCTTCTTAATGTTCGGGGAATTTGCATGTTAATAGTATAACATTTAAAGCCCCTGAAATGACTAGAAAAAAAGTTTAGTTAATTTTGATGAATGAGATTGCACAATAGAGTCAGTAAAACGATCCGAACTTTCCATCACGGACGCGACATGGGGCGTGGCAGTATCGACGATACCATTTTTTATTTCGATTTCGATACCATTGAATTAATTTCGATCGATTTCGATTTAATATCGAAATCGTGACACCCCTATTCACTCGTACAGGTGATAACCATCCAGCTCAGCTGGCAAAAATCTTTCCGTGGCAGGACACCGTTATACTGTATGTGTGTCTGAAACTCGACCTGTTACTGCTATACGTCTACCTGGCGATCCGTTATTATAGTTAAATTAGTCATCCTAACGACGATCCATCCATCACATCAACTTTAATTACCAGGCCTTACTTCTGGACCTGGCACTGCGAGTAGGGTTGTGCCGATAGACGATAGTATCGTGTATCGACAATAGTCTGAGATATCGCCGATGGCAGATTCCTTTGACGATATCAATATGATAATTGGCTCGTTTTACCATAAATAACGTATTAAATTATTATTATTAGGCCTATTATTATTATTATTATAAAGCTAGTATTGTTATTAAATTAATATTAGGAACTACAATTAATTTGCCTTGCCTAAATTTACAACGACATCACCTCATAACAAATTTTGCAACACCGACACGCACTAATGAGGACTCCTCTACGAGAATGTTTTTAAAACAGACTAAAAAACATCCCACATCAAAATTTAATTGCAAGGTGATCCATTCACAAATTATCAAGTGTGCTCGTTTTAACAGACGCAAAATTCAATTTCCTACAGATCCAAGATGAAAACGGCATCGTTGTTCGTCATATTTGTTTCCGACGTAACACATTAACAAAACGTTTAATGACACTAACACTAAAAACAATACAATTACTAAATAGTATTAATAATAATATCACTAAAATAGTATTATAGTTACCGTTATCATCGTCGTCTCTGAGGGAATGCGGCTTTAGTGCAGATGCCGAAAGCAGTCCGTTTTTACTTTCACTTTCAGAGATTGAGCGCGACGACGTTCTTAACCCGATTATGTTGAATAAACTTGACAATGCATGTGGTCATGTAAACGCATTGTCAAGTTTCTGGGGGGATTTCACACATCAGTTCTGCTTTAAACTTGAAAAATGCTTAGTCAACCACGGACACAGGAATCATCTCAAAGATGGCTTTTACTTTCACTCTTCATTAAAGTTGTTACAATCTTAACTTGCAGTCTCTTCTTTTCATTCATGTCACAATACATTGGAACAGATGAGCTTCATTTGCAGTCAGATTATCTTCAAACAGTAAATTCTTTGATAGAAGGCTTCAAGCTCAAACTAGGTTGATAACCTTTTTAAAAGAAAAACAGGAAGAGAAAAAAAAAAAAATACAAGATCTAATTATAAACGGATATTGACATTACATCACAGCAATATACACTCTACTAGACATTTTAAATTCATTTATAGATAATACTCTTATTCACAATCGTGTAAAATGTCTCATAGCAATATAAATCAATCAAGCGTCAAGCAGTCATCCTACCAGCAGCGTCTCGGGTTGATTAATCACTGATGCACATCCGATTTGCGTTGTATTTCTCTCTCATACCTCATAACTTCCAGTTACAAAGTTTTCCCCATTTTGTAGGAGGGAAGCTGGAAAAGCCTGCAAGCGACAAGCATTGTTCTCATTTCTCTTGTTTTTGCCTGTGCTTGGTCTCTAATGCGCTCTGAGGAATCAATCTTTATCAGGTGCGCTCGTAATTAGGGTTCGGCTTTTTCCGACAGATGCCGGATGACGTCACCCGGAAGACGGCGCTCTTCGTGCCTTTCCGTAACACCATCTATGACCGTCAATTCGGCGAAACCGAAAGAGAATTCTCTTCAGTAATTTCTCAAGTAATAATAAATTACATGTTTGACTTCACACCTCCCACTTGACCTTCTTGATTCTTGAATCCAAGAGGTCACACCTACTACTTTCCTTCCAAGTCCTTGTACTGTTGTTCCACTGGGAGCAAAACAACTAATCGCCGAACATCCCTACGAATGATGGTTGATGGAATTTTAGTGACTTCCCATTTGGTAATTTTCCTCGTTACCGATTTCTCTGGTCCTGAACAAAAAACTGGGTGACTTGAGGAAACTCTTACTTCCACATCTCTCACAATACCTTTAGGATCAGCATTTGCCTTGGTGACTCTTCCTAATTTGTATTGACTTCTAAGAGCATTCTGGTCTGCAATCCAGACAATGTCCCCTTCGGTAACATTCCTTTCCCTTGTGTGCCATTTACTCCTTACAAACAGGTTTGGTCCTGCCAACTGGCTCCATCTTTCCCAGAACTTGTTAATTTCTCCTTGGATAACCCGTAACCTCCTGTATGGGTATCCTGCAAAATCGAAATCGCCAGGATCTCCTCTTGGGCTTGCTCTTCCCAGCAACAGGGAGTTCGGTGTGACATATTCCAAACAATACTCACGACTTTGAGTTCGTGCATCTATCGGCCTCTCATTTACAAGATTTGCTGCCATATACAGAAAAGTCTGGAATTCCCCCCAGGTGAAGATGCCATTGCCTCCTAGATTGAGAAGAGCTCTTTTCACAACACGAACAGCAGCTTCAGCCGCTCCATTCCTGTGGGGTGAGTTAGCTGGATGAAACTTCCAAACCCACTCAGTTCCATGTTTCCCAGCTTCCTCTTCAAATTCTGGTTTCTTTACTCGCTCCAAGAATTCATACAGATCTTTCAGGGCTGACTGTGCTCCCACAAAGTTCGAACCTAAGTCTGACCACACTTTTGTGGGATGTCCTCTCAAAGCAGTGAACCTCTTGTATGACAACAAGAAACTTTCAGTGGATTGATCGCTTACAACATCCGTGTGAACAGCCCTTGAAGCCATGCAGCAATACACGATGCCCCAAACCTTCAACTTCACCCTTTTCTTCACTTCATCCTTCACTTCAAAAGGGCCGAATAGATCTACCGTAACAAACTCAAAGGGTGCAGCTGGTCCAGTTCTTTCAGGTGGGAGATCACTCATGATCTGCTTGCATTTCTTTGCCCGTGCTTTCCTGCAGATGACACAACTTTCCACCACCTTTTTGGCCAATCTCCGACCTTTCACCACCCATGCTACTCTCCTCATCCTCAGAAGTGTTCCAGCAATCTCTTCATGGTTGACATTATGCGCCTCATGAGCCAGTAGCAGCGATACTCGTGCTTCCATAGGTAATAGTGGAATTGTGGGTCTATCTCTTCCAAAGGCTTCACATCTTCCTCTGCACACAAGAAGTCCTGTTCCTTCTTCTTTAAACACAACCAGTCTGCACAGTGTAGTCTCAGGGAATTTTGTACTCTTTTGTGCTGCCAAAAAGAGTGCCTTCAAAGCATCCTCCCTTTCCTCAACTGTCAGTACAAATCCACTGTTTCCAACTCTATCTTCTTTCCCAGATGATGAATTTATACTCCTTTTCCCAAGCCATTTTCTCACGCTGCGCCATACCCAGCCAATGACTCTTGCCAACCTTGACAGACTACTGAATCTTTCGACATCCACCAGTCCTCCAGTAATTAGTCTACTCAGCATCTTCCAGTGAAACGACCTCTCAGCTGCTGATACCTTCTTCCCTTCAGTTATCTCCTCCATTTGGGCTCTAGTCACTGCTGCAGTGAAGACTTTCCTTTGGATCTTGTTAACACTTTCTCTAGCATTATCAGCAATTTCAGCTGCTGATCTCTTCGGCCATTTGTCCACTGATTCTTTAAGGAACTCAGGTCCATTTTGCCACATAGAGTCTTCATCAAGATCTTTAGAGCTCGCCCCTCGTGTGATAATATCAGCGATGTTCAGCTTCCCTGGAATCCACCACCAGTCATCAGTTGCCCCTGTCTTCTGAATCTCTCCAATCCTATTTGCAAAGAAAGTTTGAAACCCATAGCTGTCACGGTGAATGGCTCCCAGCACCGTCTGACTATCCACAAAATGGAACCATTTCTCCACTTTGATTCGTCCATGTTTTTCAAAGTATTTCCGTAGACGTATTGCAAAGACGGCACCACAGACTTCAGCTTTCACTGGATCTCCTTTCAGTTCTAGTGGTGTCAGTTTGGATTTAGACTCAACTAAGCGAACATCCACTCCTTGACTGGTATCCCACCTGAGGTATAGTACTGCACCATAAGCTTTGTCACTCCCATCCGAGAACGTGACTCCCCATGGTTTTCCTTTCCAGTTTGCAGGCGTAAGACTTCTGTGGAACTTTATTTTATGGAGTCGCACATACTCTTCAAACAATTCAATGGCCTCTCTTCGGATTCCCTCAGAGAGCGCAGAGTCCCATGTATGTCTTGTTAGACACCCACTTCCGCCTTCCTGGAACGCTCTTCTAACGAGAATTGCGCCCTTCTGTTTTACTGGTGTGACTAGACCAAGTGGATCATAGAGTCCCGCTACTTGACTCAAAAGGTGTCTCCTCGTCAATGGATTGGGTGTCTTCAACCTAACCTCCTCTTCAAGAAGATCCTGCTCAGTCCTCACTTTCCTTTTCCTTTTGGAGAAATTTACAGAAGTCATCATATACAGTCTATCCTCCTCCGGCAGGTATCCAATTCCCAGGGCTTTCTCATCCCCCTCTACCAGTTGATTAGGAAGTGTTACAATTCTCTCAGGAGTCAGGCTTGAAACTTTGCTTGTCTTTTCAGATCCAAACCTCCCACTTCGACCAGACCAGACCCATTCCTTCAATGCGAATCCACCAGCTTCAAGGATTTCCTCAATGCCCTTGACAATCTCAGCCAGCTTCTTCCGATCATCTTGAGATGTGAGGATATCATCCACGTAGCAGTCTTCTTCTAGGACTCTTCGCTCCTCCTTCAAATGAGCAAAAGCTGCCAATCCAGCGGTCTCCCTCATCGCTAGCTGCGCGATACAACCTGCTGGACGATCTCCAATGTTAACCCTAGTTATGGCGTACTCTCCTATTTCTTCCTCGGGTGCGTCTCGCCAAAGAAATCTGTGAAGATGCATTTCTCGTTCTTCCAGCCATACTGAATTATACATTTTCCTTATGTCTCCCAACACTCCAAACACTCCTTTCCTGAATCTGAGCAGGACAGCTCTGATAGAATTCAGCACATCAGGTCCTTTTAACAGAAGGTCGTTCATACTCAATCCCTTAAACTTCTGGCTGCTATTCCATACAAGACGCACAGGCGTGGTGACTGAATGTGGGTTTGGTGCAACTAGATGGCTTACATACCAGACCGGTCCTGTCCACTTGTCAAGCACTTCCTTTGTCAGTTTTACTGCAGCTTCTCTTTTAACCATCTCATGAACCTGTGCAGTGTAAACTTTCTTCCACTCAGGCACCTTCCCAAGCTGTTTTTCGGTTCTCAGAAACGTCGATTCCACTCCGCTCCGATTGCAAGGAAGACAAACAGGGTCTTGGATCCATGGGTACCTTGCATCCCAATGAGGTCGATCGCTATGAGAATCCACTTGCACATAGGTAAGTCCACTTTTTATGATTTCTAACTCTTTTTCCTCAGCCAAAGTCATCTCTTTCCCTCCTGGCTGGCAGGTCCCGCAGCAGCAACCTCCACACTTCGGCTCGCATGCAGCTCCTATGCTATCCCAGCTCCACCATTGAAGGAATTCCTTTCCACTTGTGAATGTGCTTCTTCCATCAATACAGGGAATTTTCTTTGAGATTTTGGAGAAAAATAGCGGCTCACTTTCTCCACGGACCTCTGTATACCTGGTCACAGCAGTTCTCATTGACCTTGCAAAATGTGTCTTCGACTCATAAGCTGTCATATGGATCTCTTCAAACAAGTCTGGGTGTGCCCCACCTACCATTTTTCCAAGTGGGCTGTCCCAAAGGACAAGATCTCCTACAATCTTTACTCTTTGTGGTGCGAGCTTTCCTTCCCGATGACTGAGAAGTAGTTCTATTTTTTCAGGCCTCTTTAGTTCTGCCAACTCAACATCTGGAAAGAACTTTTTCAGTTGCTGTGGACTCACTCTCTTGTGCATTCTTGCAATCTCTTCTAGACCATAACAGACAAGTTGATGTGCTTTGTCTTTTCCTGCTGATGTTCTTACTCGAATTCTGAGGAGATACCTTTTGGTTCTTACACGGATAGCCATCTTACCCACTCCATGAACAACCAGGTTGATTTCTTCTCCACTCAATCCGAGCCTGTCGGCAGCTTTGTGGGTTATATAATTTGTGTCAGATGCCAGATCGATTAGAGTTCCAATTGTTTGTCCTGCATTTGTTGTCACCTCTTTGAGCATCATGATAACTGGAAGTTCCTGAAGTTCATTTTCGTCCAACAATCCAGGTTTCCCTTCTTTGGAACTTTCCCTCATAGCTCTGTTGGTAAATGCTTTCATACACCTTTCCACCATTTCAGGAGAAAGCTCAGAGAGAAATTTCTCTTGTTCCACAGTTAGTCTACTTCCTTTTTTCTCCTCCTTGATGGTAACTTTGCTTTCGTGTTCAGATCTGGTCTCCCCTTTGGGACAGAAAAGATAATGATGATCTGCAGAGCCTCCTCCTTTGCATTCCTTTCTCCTGCACAGAAACATCTCTCTACACTTACTGTCATCTTCATGATAACCCAAACACCTTCTGCATAACCCAAGCTTCCTGAGGATTACCTTCTTTTCTGTAAATTGCAGTTCCTTGAATTTATTGCAAAAGAAGATTTTACCTTTGTGCTTCTCAGATCCACACACAATGCACACACCTTCAAACGGAGTTATCTTTGTTGACTTAGTAAATGCATAACTTCTCTCAGGCCTTCTGTCCCGCCTTTCCACTTTTTCCGTGACTCTTAGCTGCTCAAGTCTCTCAAGGATTCCTTCCTCCTTCTTCAAAAACTCAAGAAGTTTGTCAAAGTAATTTACTGATGTAACCTCACTATCTGGAGCAGTCACCAAAGCAAGCCAGTCCCTCTTCATGAACTCAGGAAGTTTACTTTCTATGGACTTAATTACAAGAGGATTTTTTATGACCTCCGTGTCTCCAAGGTCAGTAAGATCCACTAACGCCTTCTCCACCGTTTGGACAAATTCGATCACTTTGCGTGGCTGGTTTCCTCTCATCACAGGAATTCTCTCTAATTCCTCCACAATTTCCATTGTAATTGCATAATTGTTCCCGTATCGATTTTGAAGCACCCTGAAAATCTCTACAGCAGTGTTGTAAGAGGACAAACGAAGATCTTTCACAATCCTGGCATCTATGCTGTCTAATAATTGAATTTTCTTGACCTCCACAGATCCAGAAGGTTCTCCCTGTTGTTGAAGTTTTTCCCAGTCTTTCCTCCACCGATAGAAGTTTCTCTTGTTTCCATCAAACACAGGCAAACTTGCTGGTCTGAATCTCACGATTGGGTTGCTTGGAGGCATAAAAGGCGGTGCGTGTGGCACAGTGGGGTTTGGGACCAATGCATCTTCAGCGGCCCTCCGCGCTCTAGCAAACTCACCCTTCCTTGCTTCGAGCTCATTGCGATCTTCCCTTAATTTCCTCACACGTCCTTCCCAAACTTTCCTTTCGGCATCAGGGGTCCACTTCTCCCAGCTTGACAAAGCTCTTAGTGCTTCTTTAACAAGATTTTCAAGAAAGATGAGTTGAACTTCATAGTTTTCATACTCACTACTATCAATAGCTATGTTTGCTACTCGATCACAAGTCTTCTCCGCTGCAGTTATTGCACCAGTCACTTCATGCAGTCCATATCTTGACCAAAGATTAATTTGAACAATTTTTTCAACTTCATTAAACTTCTCATCACACTCACTTGCAGTTTTCTTAATATCAGCTTCCTGCTGCAATGGCTCTTCATCTTTGCTCTCATCATCCTCCATATCAGCGAGAAGTCCAGATTCACTTTCACTCTTCATTAAAGTTGTTACAATCTTAACTTGCAGTCTCTTCTTTTCATTCATGTCACAATACATTGGAACAGATGAGCTTCATTTGCAGTCAGATTATCTTCAAACAGTAAATTCTTTGATAGAAGGCTTCAAGCTCAAACTAGGTTGATAACCTTTTTAAAAGAAAAACAGGAAGAGAAAAAAAAAAAATACAAGATCTAATTATAAACGGATATTGACATTACATCACAGCAATATACACTCTACTAGACATTTTAAATTCATTTATAGATAATACTCTTATTCACAATCGTGTAAAATGTCTCATAGCAATATAAATCAATCAAGCGTCAAGCAGTCATCCTACCAGCAGCGTCTCGGGTTGATTAATCACTGATGCACATCCGATTTGCGTTGTATTTCTCTCTCATACCTCATAACTTCCAGTTACAAAGTTTTCCCCATTTTGTAGGAGGGAAGCTGGAAAAGCCTGCAAGCGACAAGCATTGTTCTCATTTCTCTTGTTTTTGCCTGTGCTTGGTCTCTAATGCGCTCTGAGGAATCAATCTTTATCAGGTGCGCTCGTAATTAGGGTTCGGCTTTTTCCGACAGATGCCGGATGACGTCACCCGGAAGACGGCGCTCTTCGTGCCTTTCCGTAACACCATCTATGACCGTCAATTCGGCGAAACCGAAAGAGAATTCTCTTCAGTAATTTCTCAAGTAATAATAAATTACATGTTTGACTTCACACGCATTAACCCGTTTTCCTTTATCAGAGTCAAGTCATAAGTATAAGTATAAACCAATCGACTCAGCTAGATGTTTGGCCCTTGCTCTGGTTTCTCCCGGCATTTAAAACACATTAACCCGCGTACTTCGTGCTGAAGTGCATCCAGGCAGAGAGCGCACTGGTAGGGGGACACATATCGCAAACTCCGACTCTTTCTGACCCAAGAAATTATTAAAACGTGTTTTCATCTCGTGCAGAAATAGGCCCTAGTCAAAATGCTGCATGTAACGGCATGAGGATAGGCTAATGTGTCCGTAAATTTCCCGTTGACAAACAAAAGGATTAGGATCTCTTTTTTTACTTCACTATACCAGGAAATAACCTGATCCTATTAATAAACACTCCACCTTTGCTAGCAAAATAGAAAAAAGATTCTCGTATATAAAACGAAGTAGGCTAATAAAACAAGCAAATTAATGAGTAGGCTAAATAATCAAGTTAATAATCAAATAAGTTAGCCCCGCCCCCTCACGATAATATCGTGTATCGCCGATCTCACAGGCTGAAGATAGGACGATATGAAAATGGAGCATATCGCCCAACACTAACTGCGAGTGTCGATCTTCTCAAAGAAATCCCGATTTGAACGAAAAGTTTGAATGAAGGACCTTCTCTGTACACTATCATAAAGACTAACTTGCCACCACCTACAGGCCGTTTTACTTTCATATTTAATCTATAACACGGAAGGGCAATGTTAGTCCTGGGTGCAGAGTTTAGCTCCTTCAACTCTAATCAAACACACCTGAATCAGCTAATCATCATTTTTAGGATTATTAATACCCAGATGACGTTAAAGTCTGCAGGACAACGGCACTCGAGAAAAGACGTTGCCTAGCTCTGTTCTTTTCAATAATTTTCACGTTGCTGTATTAAAAATCTAAGCTATATATAAAACATTAATCCTAAAGTAATATGCAAATATGTAGCTATAAATAAACACAACAAGTAATACATCACTGCATAAAATCTACCAGGTTTCTGTAATCTGTACACTATCATTTTCATTAATCTTTTGTCAACTGGTATCTAGTCTAAAGGCCTGTTCACACCGGGACGAATTTCGCGCGCGATATTCGTCGACGTTTAACGCCTCGTGACTAAACAATGGGCGCCAATGTGAGTGTTCACACCGACGCGAAAAACGCCATGCGTAAAAGCGTCCTTTTTAAAAAAACGCCTCGGGTTCGTTTTTTTTGGTTTGACGCGCCGCGTCAAAACCTATCCGACCAACGAGATTGGCGGGTTTGCTCACGTGTCTGGTACTTCTGAAGTTACAGTAAAACACAACTTGGGGGCGTTCAAACACAAAACAGTCTTGCGAGCACACATACGGCGATGAAGAGACAAGGCAAGATACCTATGGGCAAGATGAATGTTGAGCTGCTGGTCTCGGAGCATAAAGAGCTATATGATAATATTTATATTAGTATTTCTGTAATAATAGTATAGTATAGGGTGACCAACAGTCCTGTTTTCCCGCGACATGTGTAAAACGATCACTTTGTGTTTTATAGAAATCTGAGTTGAGATGAGAACTGCGCATAGTGTCAGTTAGATTTTGACAAGTGAGGAGAAGAGATAACCGCTCTGCCGACTCTTTGTATTCTTTCTTTTATTTTTCTATTGTAACCAGATGGGTTTTTTTTCTCGCTCGATCCCCATATTGAGGACGAGTGTAACGTTTGAGTGGTTTTATTAAACGCTGGGAAATACGACAACTCTCGTCTCTCGTGCATCTGTTCATCCGACAACTAGTGCTATGTTTTTATCTCTGGGCAACATCTCAACTTTGCGTTACACATGTCCTGTCCTGGCTGTTTTTAAGTGCTGAAAATGTCCTGGTTTTCAAAAAAACTGCTGGGAAAGATCAGTTCTACAGCAAAATATAGATGTGCAAACAAGGTGGATGAGGAAGAAAAAAAGGATAAAGAGGATGAAATCTAAAGACATAAATAGATTTTGTTAGTTCGTTTTTGTAAGTTTGTGAGAGCTATTTTTTTTGTTTCATTTGGAGGCATTTCTTTTAGTTATTTATTATTTATATATTTATTTTTTTAATACAGAAGACATTATTTCTATCATTATTTCATTCGTTTTTTTAATCTGTCATAATAAAACATTGAGACATGAATATGATCACCCTAGTATATTCTATTATTATTTCTGTTTTACATTAAGCGCCATCTAATGTCAGGGAATGAATTTGCATGTTCACTCAGCTCATTGTCAGCGAAAAACGTTTGGGAACACAAAAAACGCGTTGAAAAACGCTGACGAATAACACGCGCCGATATTCGTCCCGGTGTGTACGGGCCTTTAGAATTCATTTACCAGGCTACATATATGATAGCTTTTGAGGGTGGCATATTTAACGGTAACGATCGCCAGGTTATGGCTGTACATTTATTTTTATTTTTTTACAAATGCTACATGTTCATTTTAAATTTTAGTTGTTGTTGATGTTCTTTGTTTCACATACTCTGAACTAGGGCTGCACGATTTGGGCCAAAATGATAATCACGATTATTTTGATCAATATTGAGATCACGATTAATTATCACGATTATTTGTTGATTTTAACCAAAACTAATTTTACTGTCACATAGACTAATTATAACATCCTTACAAATCCATATTGTGCTACATTCCTGCTAATGTACTATGTGCATTAAAATAAAACAGGTGCTCTCATTCACCAAAATTCAATGCATCTCTTTAAAGAATAAAGAAAAATAAAGAAAACAATAAATAAAATGTAGCAAAACTTCAACAGGGCACTATTTTACATAGTGTAAATATATTTTAGGACGCAAAATATAAACTTGCATTGTACCTGCATAATGGATGTGAATAAAACGCGCAAAATGTACGATCAATAAAAAACAAATATTCCAAAACAGAATGCAACCAAATGAGAACATGTCAAGGCAGAACTATGCACTATGGAAGTTCGATTAATGGATGAAATTCAGAGTTGTTATTTGACACTTAAGAAATGTAAAATGTGTCAGTAATTAGTTGTGAAATCTTACTGCATACATTTAATCTATTTAATCCTCCATATTAAAGTTTATGTGGTCGAATTATTTCTATTTATTAAATAATAGTTCAAAACAAGATGTTTGTATTAGCCTACTCATATTGGAGTCCATTAATCGAACTTCCGTGCCTCTTAGTAATTATATGTATGTGTACCAATTTACTAACGCAATTTACTAATGCTCACTCGGTCTCTCACGCGCACTGTCACTCAGTCTCAGACACAACCGGTATCTCTCGCGTGCTGTCGCTCCGTGTCGTACGCACGCAGACACACTTGAGGTGTTTCTCAATGTCAAGAAAGGATTCTCGGAAGC